CCGCTTTGAATCACCGCGCCGCCGCGTCTTCAGGGTCTGCCAACTTAGCAGCCCGCAGCGCCCGGCTGCGCCACACAAGACAGCCAACTCGACAGAGGCAAAAACAGCCGGAGCACAGCACTGTGCGTGCGATACCCTATCGGAAGGCAGAGAAGGGTCAAAATGCCACCGGCCGTACCAACGATCAATACAATGAAACTTCAGAGAGTGGCCAAGTGAAACAGACGAGTACAAATGCAAGGAAAAAGACAATTATGTAAGGACAAAAGTAATGGCAAAAGGGCGATCCGAAGTTGAGGACCGTGACATACCCAGCTTACACCGCACCGGGCCGCGCAAACTTCGCCGCATCACTAAGCAGCATCATTCGAGGGCCGATTCCTGGTCCAGTGTTTACCTGAAACATGGAAGGGGCCGCGTTAGGGCACTGCACGGGAGTGTGCCGGGGCCAGGCAAGCTGCAGGCAAGAAGGGGGAGATCGCACCCGGAGCGCGACCATAACTCGAAGGCATGCGTTCGCTACGCGGGTATGTACCGATTTCTTTCACCAGGCCAGCGCCTCATCACGCCAGCCTCGCTCCGCCCGCTCCTCCAGCTCGGGACTTATAGTCCACCGGACCAAACGCAGCGGGGTGGACCGCGAGGCCTCGGCCGCGGGACACCGGGGGGTGACTTGTTCGTTCAACGGGTGCATGCGGCAGAGCGAGAAAGGGAGGCGTTACGCCCAGCCTGAGGGCGGGAGGGAGGGAGAAGGAAACTCCGCTGTTCAGCAGACGGGCGGCCAAGCTCGCTGCTGGCCGTGCGCTGCCTCCACCCCTCCCCTCCGTTCCCCCGGCCGCGCTGAGCCGCCTGCGCCACGGCGGCGCGTGGAGCGCCTCGCGGGTAGGCCCTCCCGCCGGCCAGCCGTGCGCACCGGGACAGTGCAGGGCTCCAGGCACTCGGGCCCTCCTATCCGCGCTGCACCGAGCACCACCGCCGCTCGCAAAAATTTGAATCGCACAGTGGAAGCGGAGTGGGCGCAATCTGAAAGACAGCGGGGGCTTGTCGAGCTGCTGTTGGAGAGTGCCACCCGCACCGCGAGCCGAGGATATTTAAATGTTGCCCTTAAGGCAAAACAGAAAATTTCATGAAGCTAGGGGTCGCACTTGAGTTGTCAGTTTTCGCCGAACAAGGGCACCGCGCTGGTTTCTAGGCCCGGGTCGAGCCGCACCCGCCGGGGCCCCCGTCGAGGCGAGCCCGGCAGCGCGTCTTGCCTTGTGCCTCCACGGCTGGCTAGAGTTCGGGCTGGGCTACACAGTCGTGGAGAGGGTACCTCCAGAGTGAAATGGCTATGGCTAGGCTAAAACAACCAACGGGCCGACATTCGCAGCTCGTCTCTAAACGTGGCACCGGCGAAATTGTCATTCGATTCAAATCTAGCTTCAGCAGAATGAGTGCAATAAGTTTCTCAACTCAGCCATGGCGCAATTTTTCTCAAAATGCACTAAAATGACCAGAAAACGAGCCAGAAATTTAGCGCTTGGATAATACGAGGTAGTGTGTAACTTTCGGTCCTACTAATGAGGACGAGGGCAGAATCCTCCTCGCCCAGCCCAGCTCTGTTGGTCGGGCGCAGCCGTCGTGGTGTGTAGCCTCCGCAGTCAGCCCGGCCCGGCCGCTGGCCTGAGAGTCGCCCGCCCAGCCCGGCCCCGCCAGCCCGGCCCAGCCCGTCTGGCTGGCTCACGCTGGCTCGCTCCCACCGCCACGAGTCCACTTTGGCTCGGCCGCGCAGCCGCGGTATTCGAACACACAACCAGTCCGCCCCGTACAGGATAACCTTGGGCGGGCACGGCGCCGAGGGCTGCCCCCATGGTTCGCCAGTCCCCGAGGTCTGACGGCGTCCTCCGTCACCCCGAGACGAACCCCTACGATCCTTGGTCCACAGCACCGCCACCGTCACACCGCGCTGGCGCCCTCCCCCGGCGCCCTGCGCAGTACCCGACCTGCTGCGCCTGCTGCTGGGGGGAAGTACCAGCCAGAGCGCATTTACCGCTCCCTCAGCCGTCCATCAAGCCTGTCGATACTCCTCGCTTTGGCGCGTCACAGGGGGGGTATCTGCACACAGCCGCGGGCCTCGCGCCACCGCTACGTCGTCACAGCTCGGCGTGGCGCGGCGCGGAGCGGCGTCGGGGACCGACAGGGACCGAGCAGCAGGGGCAGGGCGGTGCGGGGCGCCCGCGCGCGCGGCTAACTATAGCGGGCTGGCAACCCGTCCCAGCCCCAGCCGCCCCGTCCCACGGCTCCGCGCAGCACCGCGTCCACGCCATCCTGGGCCGCCCTGGGGCTCCCTGGCGCCATCGGCGGGGTCCCTCTCGCCCCGCCTGCTCCCACCCCACGTCCGCCCGCGCAGCGCCAGCAGCGCGAGCACGGGGCGGGGCCGTGCCGCGGCTGTCCACCTGGCAGCGAGACCCCCCTTTCGGATGGCTGGCTGAGCCGCTTGAAAATTTTATGCACTTCAAACTTGCAAGGGAAATTGTTGAGAAAATTTTTGCAGTCGGCATAGCTTATTTGCCCCGGGACTCTCAACGTGCCTCGGCGAACTACCCCTAGCGGTGTCAGATGAGAGGGTGAACGGGACCACGCGGCCCGGCCGGCCCTAGACCGCTGCCGGCGCCAAAGCCATTGTCTGCGGGGGGCGGCGCGGGGGAGCGCGGGGCCGCGACAGCCACCTACGGCCGTGGGGCGGGGCGGGGCGAAGCTGGGCGAGGAGTGTCGTTTGTCTCTCTGTTTATGTTTCGCTTGGCAGCCACGTGCTGTTCCACGTGTCGACAACCTGTTCACAATCACACGCACACGCCCGTGCCGGAGCTACCCCGGCCCGGCCCAGGCACTCGGCCAATGCTACTCGTGCGCGCCCTCCTGGTGAAGCTGCGAGGCCAGGCCGGAGCATCATCGCTCAGCGCTCCTCCGCAGGGGGGGAGAGAAAGGCAAACTGGACGGAGGGAGGGCGCGGGCCGTGCGGGTTGCCTCGCGGTCGGGCGCCGCTCGGGCGGGGAGCGACGGCGGCGCGGAGCGAAGTGTTGCCTACCGCCTGGGCGCAGCAGCCAGATAACGGGCCGAGCCGAGTGACGACTGTGACGACACGGGGCAGACGAGCGGCTGATAAGCGCGATAAGCCATGTCCCCGCTCCCCCGCGCCGCCCCATCGCTTTTCGCACGGCGGCGCGGGGCGGCTCACGGCGGCGCGGGGCGGGCACAGGGGTGGCCAGGACGCACATTGCATAAGGATGCAACGCACCCCGGCGGTCAGCCCCGCCGGGCCCGTGACGCAATGGACCGCCGTAACACGCGTCTTTCCCCCCGAGACACCCACCCCCGCCCGGGGGTTGCGTCAGGGGCAGGGGGGAGGGGCTCCAGCACCATCTGAGTCAAGTGGCTGGACACCGGCCGAAAAGGTCGCGCAGGTGCGAGTGCTATTGACAAGTTGTCAGGTCATCATCATCTCGCATGCAAACAAAAGGGGGTTACAAAAGACTTTCCCCGGCGTGAGCGCGGAGCCCTCTTCTGCGTCCCCCGGCCGGCCCCTCACATCGTGCGCGCTGTACTACTACTATATACTACGTGCGTGGGTGGCGGCCCGGGCCAGGCCGACGGGCCGGTGTGGTTCGTGGAGGCGAGGCAGACGACCCCGACGAGACGCATTGTCCCTGCGAGGAGGGTGCAGCAGCAGCAGCGAGCTGCGGCGCTGCGGAGGCTCCCCGCGCGCCGCCAGGCCGCATACCTGAGCTCCGGCTTGCCTACCTGCGCGGCTGTCCGGGCTGCAGCCCCGGCTTATACCCCCCCCCCCCCCCCGTCCAGTATAAGGCGGGGAGCACAGCCCGGACCGTGGAAAAAAGAAGGCAGGATTCTCATCAACTTGTCCTGCCAGCCACCCTCGCCCCCCCCCCCTCTCCCTACTCCCCCGCCTCGAGGCTAGCTGTCAAAAAGGCAGCTCACAGACGAAAGATGAAAATATGTGCGGAGTCTGTCGTGTCACAACCGAACGCGATTTAAATTGGAAGGAATCAGACGATCTTCGCCATAAAACATACGAGGGCTGAACACCCCTCGACGCCGAAACTATATTCAGCTGGTTCCGACAGAAAATAAATTCTGTGGTCGTGCAGTGCAAGCAGTAGTTGCCGCCTAACACCGCCACGGGCATTGAGGGCGCACGGTGGGACGTGTCTCAAACTCCGATTTGACATCTAAATGAGCGCAGGCAGCTACGTGCCCCTGACAGCGCGGCCACCCGCGAAATGCAGCATCAGGTTGCTAAGCTACCGGTGCGGCGTCTCGAGGCAATCTGGAGTGCAGCCCGGCGCGCCGCTCCGAATGTCAACCGACGGCTAAATCGAGCAGACGCTAAAAGGTTTACAAGTTGACAGGACAAGAATCCGTGCGTTAAGACCTTAGAGATGGCGAAGTGCAATGCCAGGACAAAACTGCCGTTTCCAAAAGTGACAGACAGAGAAACATGGTAACAGTGAATACTGGCAAATTATTGTGAAGTGACACCATCAACGGGAGGACCCGCATCACCTCAAGCTCGATTGGATGCACAAATGTCACATTGTTTTGTTTCCAGAAAACGCAGGCATTTGTGACTCACTGCTTGGTGTTTCTTAGATCCGTACAGCACAATTCACTGACGAAAAACTTCACTTCTGTTGATAGGTGTGTGCGTGAAAGCACATCACCATAACAACATAACCTCACACCCTTCGTCTGCTACGAAGTGATAAAAACCACAAGTGTCATCCGTAGAAAATCCATTGTGATGTCTTCGAGTCATTCACTACAGCACATTCAATCTTCAATTCACTTCACTTTACACTTTATAATCCTTGGTGGGTAACTTGAATATCCAGTGTTCAGAGACGATGACAGCACCATAAAAACTATCACAAATTCACGAAATTTGGCCCAAACAGGGCGGCAACGGTGAAGCACACTTGTCACACGTTTCCCTACATTCTTACCTGAACATCACACCACATATCGGCCGTATTCAGCATCCAGGGAAGTTGCGAAGAACTGCCGGGTACACCATCTCAGCGCTGCCTCCACGACGCTACGTAGGGACGTGCTCTCTCATGCCATGCACTAGCTTCACTGTTCGCCGTTCGCCATGGCGCGCTCGGCTCGGCGCTGAGGCAGCCCGGCAAGCCTGCCTTGCTTCGCTGGAATTTCCCTGCGCCACTTCGGCCAGCGTTCGGGACTCGGAGCGGCTTCGGGCTCGCTTCGGCTCCGCTTCGGCTCCCCTGCCCTCCCAGTTTACTTCAGCCGTGAGCCCGGCTCGGCTCGGCCCTCATCACGGCGGCGCGGCTCGACTCGCTCGGCTCGGCTCGGTGGCCGGCTCGGCGTGGCGCTGTGCGCGGCGGCTCGGCTCGGCTCGATCCGGCGCGGCTGAGCTCGTCTGGTGCCGCTGCCATGGGCTGCCATGGGGCCACGGGCCACCCGGCCCATCGGGCGCCAGCGCGGCCGCCGCCGCCGCCGCCCCAGCCCGCGCACGCCGCGGCGCTGCGTCAGCGGCCACCGCAGCGGCGTTGGCGTCGGCGCGGGGGCGGCAGTAGCAGCGGCGTGGGGCGCCGCCGCCGCAGCAACCACTTTGACATAACATGATGGTATAGCGAGGGGGGTGGTAGCCCTGGCTGCCCCGGCCCGGCTCCGCGAGCTCCGCGGGGCGGGCACCGCGGGACGGGGCCGGGCTGGGCGGCGCGGGTCCGCGCCCCCGCTAGTTCGTAGCCTTCTCCGCGAAAACACAACGTTCTCCCAGCCCTGTGGATTGTTTCAGGACGTATTCGAGCAGGCGGTGGCCGAGTGAGCCAGCAGCAGCCAGGAGGAGGCGAGTTCGGCTTGGCCCGGCTCTATCGCGTATGACTCGGCTACAATCGCATGGCGGGTGGCGGCGGGCCGGAGGGCCGAGCGCCGTTGGCAGCCCTGGGAGGGGCAGGGGGATGCCCTGAAGTGGCGGAGCGTGGCGCACCGCGGAGCAGCGCGTGGTGGCGCCAACGCACTTGCGCCTCCAATAATACGGAGAAGAGAGGCTCCGCGACGCTCAGTCACCTGCCAAAGCTCCCGGGGCGCGCACGTGCAGTGCACCGCGCAGCCCGACTGCGGGCCGTGCACATGCTCGTGCACCGAGCTTTGGCTGTGCTCATGGACCAAGTCCCGCCCCCGCTCCAACCCCCAGGCTGGGCACATACACGCCGTCCTGGGGGGAGAACACCGCCTTGCCTGTGCTAATGCACCAAGTCCCCCTTCTCCTACACCTCACAACGCCGACCCCGAGAGGGAAGTCTCATCACGTAAGACTCCTCACAAGAGGCGTGTCCAGGAGCGATTTCTAATGACGATGAATTTGCCGCTGAGGACATCGAGGTGGTTGCCGATGGAAAATACTAGAGGATAGATGCCCCCCCCCGCTCCCCCTCTCTTTATTCCTGAAAAAGAAAATGACTAAAAATGAGAGCCACAGGAATAAAGTCGGAGAGTCACATAGAGTTTTCCTTTGCCCCCCTTTCGTTTCTCTCGTTCCAACTCCCAACCCTCCACACTTTTCTTTTTCCCAAAGACGGGGGCGGCGCGCTGGAGTGTGACACTTTTAAATCGCGCGCCACGGCGCCGCCGGGCTACGCCGGGCCGGGGCCTGCTGGCCGGCCTGGGCCTCCTAGAGCAAGCAGGTCGAAGTCGAAAGGAGAGAGAGAGGCAAGGGGTATTGCGGGATAGCGCGCTGGCGCTGCCCTGCCGCGGGAGGATAGAGGGGAGGGGGCGTGGCGGAGCGGAGCGGGAGGGGAGGGGAGAGCAGGCGGGAGCTAACCACGTCAAGTCTCCAGTATTTGCTAGAATGCACCGACTTGTGGAGTATGTCCGCGGCTCGCTACGCGCCCCGCCACAGCGGAGCAGGACGGAGCGGTGCTCGCGTAAGGCCGCGGCGAACGGAGAGGCCGCAACGCAACTGGCCGCAACGCGCCAAGCTGCATATACTCTCTACCCACTACTCCGAACGTTCAAATATGCCCCAAAAACGTAACATGAAGAGAGGGGGCCATTCTTCGGAAATGGACCAAAAATGCCGAAATGTTCCATTAATCAGGAAAAGAACCAAAATTCGAAATCGTCTTGTTTCACCCAGAAATGGTCCATACGAGTACCGGAGAGTACCTCATGCACCTACACAGACACCAGAATTCGTACAAGTTCGGCTATGTTCGGTCCCCATGACCGGAGAGCCTTGGGCTGTGACGAAATTATCGTGACGTCCGTCGGCGTCGCATGCGGACCCGCCCAGCTAGCGGTTGGGATAAAGTCGAGCCGAGCAGCGCGGCAGTTCGTACACAGAGGGGCTGGCAGAGTCAGAGCAGGGGAGGGGGAAGGGAGGGGAGGGGCGTGCGGAGGACAGGGGAACCGGAGAGCAGGCAGACAGACCTACGGGGCCGACAGACGGCCGGGTGGCCGCCAGGGAGGGTAGCGGAGCAGGCGGAGCGGCGGAGCGGAGAGGGACACAAAATGATAGAATTTGAGAGAGATGTACCGATATGAATATTGCGCGAGAGCGAGAGAGACGGAGCGAAGAAACACGGGAGATAAAACGAAGAGGAGAGCAAAGCGGAGAGACCGAGAATAAGGGTGGGAAGGCGGACGGGCAGAAAATAAAAGTGAAGTGAGACGGTGCTAGGGGGGCCGCCGGCAGAGCGAGAGAGAAAAGAAGACCAACAGGAAAGAGGGAACGACGTTGCTGCGGTGGTGATGGAGGGGGCCATCATGCGAAGAAAATGAGGGAAAGAGGGGACGGAGGAAATGAATAAAAAAAGAAAACTGCGGAGAAGGAGAAATATAGAATAATACTGGCTGAGAGAGCGAGAGCGGCCAGAGAGGGAGAGACGGAGAATGAGAGAGCAAGTGAGGGGAGGGGTGGTGGAGGCAAGAAGGGAGAGAAAGAGAGAGATGACGAGAGAAGTTGGGGCAGCTGCTCCCCTGCGGTGGGAGAGAGATGGACCATGTATTAAGGGTGAGTGGTGTTTGTGCGATGTGCGCGCTGTGTGTGCAAAAGGAAAAGAATTAACAAATCCCTTTCCTTCAGTTCTCTTTTTCTTGTGTCTCCCCCCACCTCCACCCCCCACCCACGCGGCACCTGCACCGATAGAGCGTCTCAAATGAAGGAAGGCGCGATGGGTTTGAATCTGGCGGCAATGCTGTCGCCAGAGGCCGGCGTGCACCGGCCGGTCTGGGCGCCACTGCTGGGCCCGGAGGCTGCCAGCGGACGCCAACCTGGTCTAGTTCTTCTACCTCCATGACCAAGAGCCAATACATCCAACAGATGCATCGCGATTAGTTAAGTCAATACATCGGGAGAATCTCATCTCTTTAAGTCTGCGGGCCTAGACGAGACTTGGTTGGCGGGGAACTGCGTCAGGACTAGCCTACGTCTACGTCAGGACTACGTCGCACCCAGGCCGTGGTCGTCGTACCCGCCAGGCAGGCAGGCGGATCTCTTCGGCGCGCCTGCCCTGGCCGCCCGGCCCCCGCCCGGCCACCCGCCCGCCCGTCCGCCCGTGCGTCCGCCTTCCCGTCCGCCCGCCCGCCCGCACCGTCCCGCGCCGAGCCTCGTTTGCCTCCCGGCCGTCCCGTCCCGCCGCACCGCGCGAACCTCACCACACCGGCCTCCCTCCCAGCAGCAGGCAGCCAAGGGCAACGACAGTGCTGCTACGGTGGTGTTTTTACCGAACTACACGTGCCGAGCCGAGCCTGTGGGAGTGGGACATTCCTGACAGAGCCACCCCGAGCAGTAAACACGGTTGGCATCGTCAACATTTCCAGCTGGGCGGGAAAATCATCAGGTATTCCCTGTGAAATTTATGACCGCCAATATGGGTAGGGCGCAAGAAAAAGAATCCTCCTAAGAAGTTTATGCAAAAAAAACACCTAAATTCGACAACTGCAAAACTTGGGTAATAAAGGGGAGGGCAGTGGTTGTTGATTCACTTTCAAGCAGCTCGATACTCGCTCCACATTACAGAGGTTAAGTCAGGTGGATGGTTTTATTTTTGTGTGGAAGCAAACAAATGTAACGACGCATGCAAATGTATCCAACTATCCCTGCACAAACAAAGTGACAAATAAAAATTTAGCTAGACACGAAAAAACTTACGACAGCGATCTGTCGGCTACCAGCATCGAGAATGTCACAGGACTTTGTGACATTGTACAAATTATGCTGGAGCTGTCTGAACAACGCATTTGAGCGCAGATATATGTAATACATACATTTCTTAATTTGGGGGAAAAGAGTCCTTACGGATGATGCCTGGGGGATGGAGTGCAATGCGGGCAGCATACCCCAGACGGCGCAGCTAGCAGCGCACTGCAGCCGCGGGGGGATACGGAACGTACAATGAAAGAGGCTGCCTTACACTTACATGTGTGATGGTACCTTTCGTTGATGTAGTTACGATCCAGCGGCCAGCAACTAATTAAATGTTAGCATGCCCGAGGGGTAAGTACATAGGGCGAGTCAAGTGAAAGTCGCAAATTTGTCACCAAAAGTAATGGATGTAATGGACATCAAAATACCCAATTACAGTTAAAATCGTGTTAAAATAGGGAGCCATAAGCAATTAATGCATGTATGCATGCACACGGGTTAACTACACACACATACGCACTTAGATTTGCAGAGCGTTAGAAATTTGTGAGGAGCCCTATGAACGTGCTCGTTTGGTATGAAATTTTTCCGGGAATTTTCGAAATACATACCTGTGACACCTAACCAACCCCAAAACCCCAGGACCCAAGTCAAATTTAAATGCCCCTTAAAATTTATTTTTAGAAATAGGACCGAATCGGACGATCCTGTCGTCATCCTGAGTGGTTTTTGTTGAAATCACAAGTATCACGGAAGTATCGCGGCTATGCCCGTTGCGTGTTCTAGACGTCAAAAGACCAGAGCACTACAAGATAGAGGCTTTAGACAGGCTTTCGTCCGAGACACTTTTGGCAACCATATTCCGCTCAAATTTGTTTGTTCTGGCGGGAGGGGAACACTCATTTACTTACGGACTCGCTTACGAAGAATTTTGTGCAAACGTAATATTGATCACAAATTATCTGTAATACGGATGGAGTTGTCCGTATTACGGATAATTTGATCCACATTTCAAACATGCCTTCATCCGTAACCTTTCGTTCAACTTCATACGCGTATTACGGATGATTTGGGATCCGTACTACGTTTGCACAAAATTCTCCGTAACATACACCGCGAGCAAGGAAATGAGAGCGAACAGTTGTTACGTCCAGGGATGGAAAGTTAATGTTTTTGTTCCTAGTCATTTTTTTGCCATTTACTCAGCCGATGAATGCAAACTCGTAGAACCGCGTATATACGGTTGGAGTATGTATGTAAAAGGATGTAATCAAGTTCAAATCCCATTAGAAATTTCTTCGAGTTGTTACTTCTTCCCAGCTGGGAACAATGCAAAACGTGTTATGTTCTATTTTTGGCGAATTCAATTGTTCTTCGCTAGAAAAGTTCAAGAAGGAGGTATTATTTGAAGGAAGTTCTTATGGGATTTAAACTCGAGCGCATCGTTTTACACCCCCTCCAAATGTTTCTAGATTGATTGGTTATGGCATCCAAGAGTAAAGGCAACGAACAAAAAGGATCTAAATTCTTAATTTTCCATTCCTGGTTACGTTCTCGAATCTGCTTGTGGGCTGTCGGCCACAAAACCGACTCTAGTTCGAAGCTGTCCAAGTCTGTCCAAGCCGAGACATTGAAAAACAGGTAGGCCTACTTGCGATCAAGTGAATGCACATATTTCAAGAAAATACACTTGATTAATTTCAATTACCTGCTTTTTGGGATGTAGCCATCAGAAAAAACACCGCTATCTACGCGGTGTAAACAAAGTCCAGGTTTCTGGGATGGAAAGCCACTCTAATGAACAAAACATCCCCAAAAGCGCCACTGCATTAAATGCGCTTCAAAGCGCATAAAAATGCACATAAAAGATGACACATTGGTGAAGCATTAAATACGCGTAGATTGTACTAAGGTTTATACGTCACACTACACTAAATCTGAAATGACTTCACAATTCTGGCTGATTCAGGGGTTTAGGAGGTCGTGGGGTGGGGTCTCCTCAGAACGGAAAGTACCCGTACAAGAGAATGTCGGAGTCAGAAAAGACAGCACTGCAAACCTTTGAGTGAGGTGTCGTGCTCAAAATGAGTGAGACAATTTCCCCAGTAGCGCCAACCGCGTTAAATGCGCTCAATGCGCATTGAAATGCACATTAAAGGTCACACCTTGGTGACGCATTAAATGCGCATTACAGCATTTAATGCGCATTTAGTGCGTCACCAATGTGTGACCTTTAATGTGCATTTCAATGCGCATTGAAGCGCATTAATGCAGTGGCGCTTCTGGGCTTTGCCTCGCTCCATTAGGCCTTACCCTATTTGCACCGAACTGTCACTCTGAAGGAGTCAGCCCTGAACTCGCCAAATTGCAGTGGGGAACCTCACTCTCATTGGGTGAGGATCGCAAATTATGACTCAAATTGAGTGAGAGTACCTAAGATATCTGACTCTAGCATTTTCAGTGTGGGAGTAAAACGAGAAAGGCGCTAAGAGTCACTTAAACCTCTAAAATAGCAATTTAATTTGTGTCCTGGAATCATTAGAATTAACCATAAGACAGGTAAGACACAGAGGAAGTCAGACTTCACCATCGCGTTCAACAGGTTCGACACACCGATGCACCATACAACTCGGAAACACTCACGTACTGCTCGGGACGACTCAGATGAACTTGGGTCTTAGGTACTGCCCGGGAATACTGAGATACAAATAAGGTATTGTTCGCGACAGCTCGGAAATGCACTAGAATATAGTTCAGGACTACTTGAATACACTCAGCTCCACGGAAAAAAAGGGTTTGCTGGCTTAGCAAAAGTTTAGCTTTCAGAGCTAATTTGTTAGCTGGATTCGGGACAGCTATTAGTTTTAGCTTCTACAGCTAATACTCTTCGCTCGATGGGACACGCTCATTGCTATCGGAGGAAGTCGACCTTTTCCTGTGCCTGTATTGGTATATTAGCTCTGAGAGCTAATAGAGATTTTGCAGCACTCGCATGAATAATTTGTTGCTGTGGCCAGGGCGTTATGTCGTTTCGGGCTAATAGCACGATCTCCTCTGAGAGATAAAATGGTTACTTTAGGATCAAAACTTGATTTATAGTCACGACCAATTCTTGGATTAGCTGGAGCGGCACTAACTTTAGCGTCCAGAAGTGACCCCGATATGTGTGGAGGAGAAAAGCGGTGTCTGGATTGTCCCGCTTCTCAATGGAAGGTGTGCACGATCACGATCCAAACTGACCGCCGACAAGGCGCGCGGTGGCCTAGCGGCCTGAGGCGTCGCTCAAGACGCGCCGGCTGGGCGGTTGGTTCGGGATCGAGTCCCGCCCGCTTCTGTCGGCTTTCTCGTTCGTCGTCACTAAGGGGGCCATGGGGGTCACTTCGCGCTAGACACAAAACAAAAAATGTCGTCGCGATTTCGTTATGCATCTGCTAATAGGTTCGACACCTGCCGGCTTCTTTTCGAATTTCCTGTCGACGTGAATTAGCTACGACAGAAAACCTAGGCCATAATGGGGATTAAATGACAACCTGCCGCTGCCCACTTGTATTGGCTATCTCAGCCAATATTATGAGCTCTCCCGTATCCAGCTTTTGTCTTTTGTCTTTGATCTCAAAGAACGTGCGCTCTATAACTACGCCCATAACGTAGCAGGCCACCAAATTTTATACACATCCAAAGCTTAACAAGCTTCTTGCGGCTGGGCATCATAGGGTAGGGTGTTTCAAAAAAGAAAAATTGTCCGATCGGTGATTTTTCAGTGTGCCTAGGTCATCCGAGTTCAACACCGTCTTACCCGTTGTCGTACGGCATCATTTACCCACTGCGCAACGCGCGTTTGAAAATTTCAGCCGCGCCGGGTACTCCAACCTCGCCCCCACTTCTCGCACCACTGTGAGGCCGCGGGTACTAGTATCGTTACAAAAATTTCCACCGGCGCGGCTGAAATTTTCAAACGTGGTGCGCAATGGGTAAATGAGGTCGTAGGACAGCGGGGAGGTCGGCGTTTGGACTCGTACGACCAAAATGCACCTAAACATTATCGACCGGGCAAAACTTTTTTTTAAACACCCTATCTTGCTTGTTTGGAAAAAACAGCAAAACACATTCTCGCCGCATGGCCACATAGTGGTCTTAACCCATGCCCATGGCCACATAGTGGTCTTAACCCATGCCCATGGCCACATAGTGTTCACGCCGCAAGGAACGTCTTAATCCTTTTTCTGATCCACCTGATTTTTGTACTTGCACCTGGGCCAAGATCTTACGCGCACAAATGAAATAAGTCCTGCCTATGCCCTCTAGATGTTACCCTGTTTCTAAAGTTGATGGGGAAACGGGAAGTGGGGGAGGGGGAGGGGAGAGAGAAAAGGGGAGGATCAGGGCCACCCGCGGGGGCATAAGGGAGATGGTACAGAGAAAAGGGAGGGGAAAAGGAGGGGGCAGGAGGAAGGAGGGTGGGCGGCGCACCCCACACTGGAACTTGTGCTGTCGAGAAGGACTATTCCAGTGCTTAGAACAGAACAGAACTAAAATGGAAGACTCAAGAGTAGCTCTGGTAACAAGTACAAGCTGTGAACCCGGCAAAAACTTGAAATACAGAACGCTCCAAAATGTTTCTGTAGCAGGGATGCGCGAAGGGGGGAAAGGCTAAAGAAAGACCCATCCAACCAGCCCCGAGGTTGGGTGCACTGG